CTCTACCAGCCCATTCTCTAGCCACCTTGCTGCCCTCCCTAGAGATAAACAATATTATTACCTTCTTGGTTTTCCTTCCAGAGTTGGCCTGGGCTTTTGGAAACAAATTCATACTTTTTTTTTTTGCACTATGATAGTAAACACTAGTTCTCCTAAGAAATATATTGCTCCATATTGGTATGTAAAGAGCTACAAGAGCTTCTTCTTTTTTCAGGCACACTGCATAAATATATAATAAATTTGTTCAATTAGCACTCTACTGGGAGTTGAGTTTGGAAAAGTTGTTCCAAACTTTTAATATGACAATGCTGTGGTTATTAAGCTTTATGTGTGTGTCATTTTTCACATGTATGAGTAATATGGATTGTGTAGTAAAGAATTTAGCTTTGCCTGAAGATATAGTCTGGCTTCTGCCGTTAGCTTCTGGAAGGTAACCTATGTCTTACGTGATAGGAGTGTCTTTGGTCTGGGTGGGGGCTGGCCTCACCAGATGCTAAGGTGGGAGCTGTCCATGCCAGAAAGATCTACTGTGTGACTTAGGATGGAGTCTTTTAACTCCTCAGTATCTTCTGACCTGTAGGCTAAGTTCAACCACTTAGGCTATTAATCCATTAGTCATGCCTATGTAATAGAGTGCCAATAAAAACTGTGAACACTGAGGCTTAGGTAATCTTCACTGATTGATGACACTCAATGTGTATTATGGCACATTGATGCTGGGAGAGTAACATATCTTGACCCCATGGGGAAAGGACAATGCAAGCTTAAGTTTGTAAGCCCTCTGAGCTTGACCCTTTGCTTCTTTCCCTGTGAGTCATGTTAGCCTGTATCCTTTCCCCATAATAAACTGTAATGGTGATTATATCCACTTGCAGTAAGCACTGGGAGTCCTTCCAGTGAATTGTCAAGCCTGGACATGGGTGGAGGACCCCCGAACAGCTCATATCATAAGTTGACAGTGGTCTTGTGTTGAATCTGTAACTTCTAATGCTATAGTTGGCCCTAAGCCTCCTGCAAGTATTAATTTACTTTCACCATTAAATAATGTATTTTACTCCAATAGCTGTGTCCAGTGTCTTGCAATAAAAAAAATTCCTAGCTGACACATAAGAATCAATAATCCCTGAGACTCCCTCGCCTGAAGTCCTCCCTGGACGGGGCATGTCTGGGGGAGGGACACTGCATGGAGTCAGATCTCAAGGGGGCTGCCAACAGCTCTGTCCCTGTTCCTTCCCCAGAAGTTATGAAAGAGGGCTCTGGATGGTTTGTGTGTAACTGGTATGCTTGTGTTTTCCTTGTTGTAGGACCCATTCTGTTAGTGTGTATTTTTACTAGGAAATCACCCAATTCCTCTAGGCTTCCAGGTTGATGCAGTTCATTTCTGAATGGCAAATTATGACTGTTCGTGTTAACTGGGGTCATTGGTTGAGGTAGTGTTTGTCCAGTTTCCCTACTGGGAAGTTACCTTTCCCCGGGTTCAATCTTTGCATCTTCTTTAGAAGATGCTCTGTGGAGCCCCCACTTCAGGAAAGGGGAGTTAGCATCACCTTCATGCTGGATGGCTGAGTATCTACATCAGTTATTCAGAATTCTTCTGCAATAGGAGATCTCTTTTCAACCCCATGTATAAAAATCAGTGTAATCACTTACTTTTACCAGTGTGGATGCCCAGTTCATTATTTTGCTCTTTGGTGGCAATCCAGCTCTAGAGTGTCTGGTTGCTCAGGTCATGGCTGCTCTGGCTATGGAGAGCTCCTTCCACTGGCTCCTATTTCCCTTTGACATACTCAATCTTTGTAGGCCCCCCCTTTTTTTTGTAGTTCCCTACTTTGTTATACTTCAATATTGTCCTGTCTCCTGATATCCAAGAATGGTATTACAAATTTAAATGTTAGAGCTAAATGTGCTCAGTGGACCATACATGTAAATATATGCATGCACAGCAGCCTTTGAATACACACCTAATCATAAAGATTTCTATGTGGAACTTTCTGTATCCACATTAAGCTAAAGGTGCGTTTACACTGATGATTCACCTGGACCTATTATCACATGGATGTTATCATCTTCCTCTGCTTATCTGTAAGCCCCCACCGTAATATGGAGAAACCTGGTGCCCATCACCTGTCATTTATTTAATTTATTGATTGTTCCATTCAAATTTACAGATAAAGTGGTTTCAGGATTATTAGCTACTACCCCCATGGGTGATAAATCAAAAACTATAGAGATTAAGGATGTCAGAAGTAAAAGGGTTTGTTGAGCTGTTTCAGATGCTAGCAAAAAAGCACTGAATCCTGGAACAAGAAGTCTCTGCTTCACCAGCAGCAAAGCCAGTTAACAGAAACAACTAGTCTACCATACTGAAGAAACAGGAGATACTTATTAGGGGTTTCAAGGAAAGAAAGTTCTTTAAATTTACATTGGTTGTAGACAAGGAAAATAGGGTAATGTGAAGTGGGGCAAGTCCAGGGGACAGGTGGATAGTCCATAAAGAAGGCTTACAGATTGTTTTTTGTTTTTTTTGGCTTGATACTTTACCTTTATTTTCTTTCTCTTTTTCTATTAAGGTATCATTGATATACACTCTTATGAAGGTTTCTCAAGAAAAACAATGTGGTTATTACCCTCTCCCTTATTATCAAGTCCCCCCGCCATACCCCATTGCAGTCACTGTCCATCAGTGTAGTAAGATGCCACAGAGTCCCTATTAGTCTTCTCAGAGCTACACTGTCTTCCCCGTGACACCATGTGCACCAATACAGATTGCTTTTCACGATGATCAGGCGCTGTTCACACACAAGAGGGATGAGGTGGTTCTGGGGACCTTCTAGATAATTGTTGGAACTACTTTATCCAGAGACATGGGAGTTTCTGGTCAGCTACACCTCATTGCTATCGACTGATCACCTGCCCTTCTCTCCCTCATTGTCTGTCCCATATGTCACTTAAATTTAGGACATCTTTGAATTTTTCCTTATCATGGGAGAGATCTTTATAAAATAGGGTCCACTGTTTATGTCCAGTACAGTTTGTCTTTAGTCTACAGATTCCATTCATTTCCAAAGTTACTTATATCAAAAACTTTTGTCCCACCACCAAGACATTGTTTTCATACATTTTAATAAAGTTAGATTCTTTGTCATATTTTGTATTTCTCTTTGTATTCATGCCAAGTAACAAAATTGGAATTGATTTTGACTTCCTTGTTGAACTGTAAAAATCTATGGGCTTAGACAAATGCATAATTCGTAGATATGCATCACTAAAGTACTCTATGGGACACTCCAAACCACCTACCCTATGATATATTTACCATCTCTGTAGTTTTGCCTTGTCCATAATGTCCTATAAATGGGAACCTACAGTGTAAAGCCTTCCAGACTGGATTCTTTCACTTAACATTATACATATGTTAAAAATAAAGTCACAGGTTCAAAATGAAGTCATTTATTTTAAGGCCCCATGTCAGTGAACCGAGATTTAACACCTAATGAAACTGCAGTTTCAATCTCTGCCCCCTCATCCTGCCCCCGGAATGTAATAACATTTAACCAGCCAAATTTCAATTTCCTGGTCAACACTAGGAGGTAATCCAATGATAGACCTCTTCCATTCCCTCTAGGAGCGCAACCTTGCCTAAAACAATACATTCGTTGTTAATAATTTTGTTTTTCCTTTCTCTCACTGCCTTTAAAAACCTTTCTTTTTCTGCAGCTCAATGGATCTCCCCTCTTTTAGAGTAGATAGCCAGACAGAAGTAGGGAGAGGGAGGGGGACTTTGGTGGGATGCTTGCTTACATTCTACACATTCTGTACAAGCCGTTCCACTGGGATGGGCAAAGGGTCTATAGATAATAGACTGGCCCAAACTGGCTCGTTCCAACATGGAAGAGGAGTTGATGCTGACGTCACCTCCAAATACATTACAACCTCACTAGCACAGTAAAAAATCACCCCTCCCCTGCCATGACAGTTCCAAGGAGAACTAAATACAACCAAAAAACCGCCTCCATCAGAAGTGAGTGTGGAGCAAGTCCGAACTCCACAAGACTCCACCTGTTCCCTTTGAAACCTAACACTACTTAATGAATATTCATCTTCCATATAAAAAAGACTCTCTGGGTCTCCCCGTGCCCCCAAACTCCTGTACTCTCCTTTCTTTCAACTCTAAATCTCCAAATAAACTATCAGTACTCACTCAATGGCTCCTCTGTGTCCATTCTTGAATTATTTATTGAATCAGACCATGGTGATTTTTGTTAGGATCTAGGTTTCCAAAGCAGTTGTTTAAATACTGAAGGTGCAATTCTTGTATCCTAAGGTGAGACTTGTTTTGAAAGAAACTACCGGACTCTCTTCCACAGGGGCTGTATTTGCATTCTGGAAACAATGAAAGAGGGTTCCTGGTGTTCCTCACCCCACGACAATTGGTGGTGTCATCTTTTTGAAGTCTTATCAATTCTAGGTGTGCAGTGCTATGTTGCTGTTTTAATTTGTAATTCCCCAGTGATACATGATGTTGAGCATATTTTTGTATGCTAATTTACTATCTGCATATCTTTGGCCATGTGTGTGTTCAGAACCTTATCTATTTTTAATGTTAAAAGATTTTTAATTTTTTTATTACTTTTGTATATTTTGAGCACAAATCCTTTACCAAAAATGTATTTTGCAAATATTTTCTCCCAGTTTGTGTCTTATATTTGGATTCTCTGAACAAGGTCTTTCGTAGTATAAAATTTTAATTTTGTAAATCCCACGTAACTTTATTTTCTTTTGTGGATAAACTTTTGGTGTTGGGTGTTAAAACTCATCAGCAAATACAAGGTAGTGTAGATTTTCTTGGTTTCATCTAGATTTTTATAATTTTGTGAATTTGGTTTAAGTTGTAAAGCTTATATCTACATTCCATATGGTCTCCAACGAATTGTTCCTTAACTGTTCAGAGAACACGGGAAATTCGTGCCGACAGCGTTATGAACAGTTTCGTTGTTCAGCAGGTTTGCCGCGAGGGGGCGCCTCCTCCCGAGCTGAGAGCGCGCGTCTTCCGCCGTTCACCACAGCCCCCAGGGGGGTGCCTGTGCCCAAACCCCTGACCCGCGCGGCGCACGCGCGCTGGTGCCTTGGACTTGGCTCCGCGTAGGGCAGACCGGAGCCGGAGCCGCGACTGCTTGCGGGCAGGACCGACGGCGGGAGAGAAAGGTGAGAAGCTCCTAGGGCGCCGACTGCTGAGCGCTTCTCTTGAGAAGCCTGCGGTGGAGTGATGTGGGAAACTGGAATTCTAAAATCTCACTGTTTCTACCACAGGTCCTACTCAACACCCAAGGCCCAGTGGCTGCAGGGGAATCCTCCCACTTGCCTCCTGATCACACTTGGAACCCTGCAAGAAGAGTAGACCTCCACTTCGTGTGAACTGGCCTCTATGATGGGGTTGTTATGTCTGCTCTGCTGTTTTTGAGGGACTGACGCGGTTGTTTTGAAAAGTAATTTACTTTCCAGACATGTCAGGCATACAGAAAATTTGCAGTGTCAGTACAAATACTCTTACCTCTGTTCCCCGCAGCCCCACTTTACCACACTTACCACTTCACACTTGCCATACTAGTGTGTGTGAAGGTGTGTCAGTGTGGTTTTAATTCACATTTCCATAACTACACCTTTTCATGTGCTTGTAGACCATTTATATGTCTTATCTGGTGTCTTTTGTCCATTTTAAAAGTTGGGTGTCTTCTTGTTGAGGTACAAGATCTCCATGTTTCCTAGGTAACAGGCTCATCATATGTACAGTGTGCAAATATATTCTTCCATTCTGTGGCTTTTTCTGGTTGGCGTCTTTTGATGCAGAAACATTTTTTTAATTTTGAGGAAATCTATCTATTCTTTCATTGCTTGTACTTTGGTGTCACATCTAAGAAGCCATTGCTAAATCCAACATCATGAAGATTATGTCCATCTACTCTTCTAAAGTTTATCATTTTACCTGTTACATTTAAGCCTTTTATCTATTTTGAGTTAATTTTTATATATGGTGTGAGTTAAGGGTTCAGTTTTATTCCTCCACACGTGGATAGCCAGTTACCGAGCACCATTTGATGAAAAAACCATTATTTCCCCAAATTAATGCTGTCTACCTTTGTCAGAAATCAAGTGAGTGTAGATGGTTGGGGTTATTTCTGGGCTTTCCATTCACTTCCATTGATCTACATATACTGTATTACATACTGTGTTCTTAAAATAAACTAAAGAAAAGAAAACGTTTCAAATTGTCATGAATCTTTAAAAATTTTTAAATATATTTGTGGGAAAAAACCTGCTTAAGTGGACCTATGCAGTTCATATCCATGCTGTCCAGTGGTCAACTGTGTATCTTTATGCCAGTGTCACAATGTTTTATTTATACTTTTTACTAAATTTGATATTGGGAAGCAAAAGCCTCCAGCTTTGATTTTCTTTCTCAAGACTGTGTTCAAGGGCTCTTTGGGGTCCCTTGAAATTCCATATGAGTTAGACTCAGCTTGCACATTTCTTCCCAAAAGCCTTTAGGAGTTTTCATAGGAATCACACTAAATCTGTCCCCATTGCCATCTTAACAGTATTTGTCTTTACATCACCATGAGAGGTCTTTACATTTATTTAGCTTTTCTTTAGTTTTTTAAATCAATGTTTTATAATTTTTAATGTACAAGTTTTGCACCTTGATTAAATCTATTCCCATTTTGTGAATGTTGACATTATTTAATTGGAATTTTAAAAAATTATTTTTGATGTATAACATAAGGAATATAGTCAAAATATTATACTTGGTATGGTGATAGCTGGTACCTAGAATTATCATTTATATAAATGTTAAATCACTGTATTGTACACCTGAAACTAATGTAATACTGTGTGTCAACTACCCTTCAATTTAAAAAATAAATAAATAAATAAATTTTAAAAGAATTATTTTTGAAACTATTCGCTGCTAGTGTGTACAAATAAAACAGATATTTGAATGCTGATATTTTGCCTTGTAACTTTGCTGAGTTAGTTTACTAGTTGTAATAAGTTTTTGCTGATTTTTTAGTAAATTTTATATATAGGACGATGTCCTCTGATTCGTGCAGAGACTAGTTTTACTTATTTCTTTCACATGAAGATGGCTTTCATTTCTTTACTCACTGATCTGGGTAGAACATCCAGTAAAATATTAAATAACAGTGGGGAAAGCAGACATACTGGTTTGTTCCTGATTTCAGGATTAACCCTTTCAATATTGACTGTGACGTTTGCTTTGGGTGTTGTACAAATGTCATTTATCATATTGACCAAATTTCCTTTTATTCCTACTTTCTTTAGTGAATTTTGTTTAAAGCTTTTTCTACATCAATTCATCTGATCACATGGTTTTCTTTCACATGATTATTGTGGTGTATTACCTTGCTGACTATTTCTTCCTTACATAGTCTTACTATGTTGAAAAGCTGTTGAACTTCTGGTGTACAGACACTTGCTTATGGTGCCTAATCCTTTCCATGTGCTGTTGGTTTTATATTGCTGTTATTTTGTGGAGTATTCCTACATCCATATTTATAAGGGATGTTGGTCTGGTTTTTTGTTCTCTGTTATTTTTGTGCCACCTCATGGGAAAGGGGTTGTTCTTGGCAGCTATTAGGGCTAGGACTAGGGTTGGGGCTGCAGAGCAGGGGCCAGAATGGGACAAGGGTAGCAGCTATGGTTATGGTTATGGTTATGGGTTATGATTATGATGTAAAGTTATGGTCATGGTTGAAGGTCAGGGTTTATGGTTCATCCTTTATTGTTTTGGTTTAACATTACCATTTATGGGCAATGATTATTGTTTATGGTTACAGTGTGCAGTAAATGTGGATACTTGTTAATGTTTATGACTTACGGTAATAGTTAACAGTTGGTGTTCATGTTTAATTTTTATTTTAGTTCATGGGGGTTTGCACTTATGTATGTTCATGGATTATAATGGATTACATTATTGGTTTAAATTTATGGCTAATAGTTAAGGTTAGGACTTAGTAAAGATTTTGGATTTGGTTAAAGGATAGGACTAGCATTTATGGTTAAAGGTAAATGTTTTTTTATGATTTATGGTTATAAGTAATGGATACTGTTATGAGTAAAGGTTATTGTATGGTTGAACTTACAGGTAATGGTAATTGCTATTGGTTTATGATTATTCATGCTTTTGAATATACTTTATGGATAAAAGTTTATGATAGCTAGGCATTGTTCTAATGGTTATGCATTATGGTTATGTTTTACAGTTACAGATATTGATATGGTTTATTTTTAAAGTAGGTTTGTGGTTTACGGCTTAAGTTTATGTTTATGTACATAATGTTATGCTTATGGCTTTGCGAATTTAGAGCTTTAAAATTTGTGGATTTATGGATTCAGAGGTTTGGGATTTATTTAGAAGATTAATGGTTAGAATTTTCTTTAAGGATTAGAGGTTTGGATATGAGGGTGTGGGCTCAGGTTAGGAATTCGGGTTTGGATTAGGATGTGGGTTAGGGGTCAGAGCCAGGGCTCTGGGTTAGGCTTGAGGGGTTAGGCGTTAGGATTAGAGGTTAGAGATTGGGGTTAGGATATGGGTTAGGATGCAGCAGGACGATCCTGAAGGCACTGTGCCTGCGGTGTTGTGATGACCCAGGTTACGGTAGAATCAGCCGGGTGGGGTCACAATTTTTCACGTCACTCCACCAAAAAAGTTAGAATTAATGTACAAAACCAGTGAAGTTGAAGAACAACACACCGATATGCAAAGATAGGACATTTCTCTGCACTAATAACTATCTCCAAGAGAAGTTAGGAACACGATCCACGTTCGACTGACTGCATCATAAACAACGAAACACCTGCCGACGCATTCCAGCGAGAAGGGGAGAGGCCCGCACTCAGGACACTCGGACCCAGCGACAGGTGACAGGCGACACCATGGAGCGCTAAGGCCCTCGCGGACAGGAAGCGGGAACTGCCCAGGGTCTCTGGCTGAATGCAGCCCACGGTTCTAGGCGAGCCCCCGCCCCAAGGTCCCCACGGCGTCTTTTTCGGAAAGAGAACAAATCACCCTGACGCTGTGGATCCGCAGGGGCCTTGCACCGCCGGGCGTCCCCGAGGAGAGCAGAACGCAAGCTTTACCCGGCTGGACCCAGGTCCGGACGCTGCGAGGACCAGGGGGGCGAGGCGGGCGCGGGACCCGGACCTGCAGCTAACCCGCCCGGCCCAGTGCACAGGGCAGCACCGCACACCGAACACGGACCCACAGGCTCCACGCACCCGACCCGCAGGGCCTCCATGGCGGACCTCTCCTCTCCTGTCCTCTCAGAATGAGCCCTCAGCAGCCCGCGCCCACGACGCTTCCCGCAGCCTTTCCTCCAGCGCAGGTGCCTCCCCGGTCCGGAAGAAGCGGGGCTCCTAATATTCCCTGACTACTCTACTACATAAGTAGTTAAGGAAATGAAGGGACGCCTATTTGACAATCCCAAGATTTATCTCCTCGGCACACTGATTATTTTTAAGAAACCGCAGACACAAACTAGGAAAAACTACTAGAACTTGACCTTTTCTAAGGGATGTTTACCTGTATAAGGGAAATCTCCCTTGGTAAGGCTGTCTCCCCCTCCACACTGGGAAAGGGGTAATGACTCCCTCCGTAGAAACTCTTATCAATGGAAAAGGCAAACAATTAAATTTGCATGACAACCATACCCTTGGTTACGGAAGATTTGCCTGATAACCTCCCTTAACTGGTTTCCCCCAAACATCTTTCTTTTGTTTGTAGATGAAAATGGCTAAGGTGATGACTTGGATCTTTGGAGAACTTCCCTTTTCCTGGAAATATCCCATGTTTACGGGAAGCATACACGTTATTAAACTTAGGTTTTTCTCCTATTGATCTGTATTTTATTACTAGGAGAGTCTCAGCCAAGAACCTGGAAGGACAGAAGAAAAATTATTTTCAACCTGTACACAAGCGATGGCATAATATTCAGCAACAGAAAGGAAGAAACATGAACCCATGCAAAGATGTGGATGAATGTTACATACAGACAGCTGAATAAAAGGATCCAGCCTGAAGAGGCCATACACTTGCAGGACCCCATTTATATGACATTCTGAAAGGCAAAACTACAGAGATGGTGAATGCATAGAGGCTTGGAGTATTTCATGAGATACTTCAGTGATAGATACCTTATATTTTCACAATGCAATGAGGAAATAAAAAACTATTCAAATTTTGTTACTTAGGATGTGGGAGTGTCACAGGATGAAGTATACAGATGTCACAAAGAATCTGTCAGGCAGAAAGACAGATTCCAGCAAGATGAAAAGAGAGTGGGACCCACCAAGAACTCAGGTAGTTAATTGGATAAAGCCAAAGAGCCAGAGATGACTCAGGGGATTGATTAAATAAAGCCATAGGAACAGAGAGTGACTTTAAGGGCAAGGACACTCCCCAGATAAGAAACCTCTAAGTACACGTACTCCCCAGATGACAAAAATGAAATACGTATTAAAAAACTGTCAGTGGTAGGGTAAAAGGTGCTGACCTAAGTGAAACAGGGGCTGTGGGTGTAGTCAGAGTAGGGTGAGGGCCTAGGGAAAAAGCAAGATAGGATGTTTGCAGTCAGAGCAATGTAACTACATGCAAGGAAACCCCCTACTAAAATTCTGTGTTAAACATTCAGCTCTAGAGTCATTCTTCAGTGAAATCAGTTAATATTCCCCAGATAAAGAAGAGTAGTACATGTTTTTATTATGCTAATCATTTATAATCATGTGTAAGATTCACCTGAGCATACTAAAAGGCCCAGGCCGATGTGCTGTCTTTCCTCCTTCAGATCTGATGAGGTGATTTTGCAAACTGGGCAACTAATTTAGGGGGTAAGCCCAGGCATAAACAACACAGTAAAAGGCAAGAAGGATTCCACCTTAAAGATAAGATTGCATACCCAAGAAGTTAAGATGTTAGAAATTCTTAACTTACTCTTTAGCAAACAATACCTCAGCCCACTTTGGGGGCTGAGCAGGTGGCCTTGTTCCAAATGCCCCCAGACCAAGATGCTGGTATCTCAGGGACAAATCATCAGAGCAGGAAGTAACCTGTGTTGTTAATTCTAAACATTCTGGGACCACTTAATAAGTCCACACCCCTAAGCTTTTTTACATGTTCTCAAAAAATCCTCAACTGCCTATAAAACCCCTAGACAATGCGCCACCCTGGACTCTCTTGTCC